AAATTAAGGCAACTGCCATGCTCATTACTTCCACCTTCAGACCAACAGTTAAAAGCAAAGCTCCTTTTACACACATTTACCTTTTAACTTCAGACATTCCTCTACAGATATTTCTGTCTCACTGTCACTGCTAGGACTCAGCCTTGGATTTTATTCACAGTTGTAGAAAACTGTAACACAACTCAAACCAAATCATGGCCAAGCACTGTCCAAAGGAATAGGTGTAAGCACTTCGTCACTCATCCCCTGGAGGACATGTAGACTGCCTTGTACATAATCTCTAGAGCTTTTACAGTTCATCTGTTACACATTGGATAGTTAGCATTTGCTTTAAACTAAGCTTTGCAAGGAGAAAGCATGATCTCAGTAACACTATCCTCAAAAATGCTGCTAAGAGAAAAAAGCCTACCAGCAAGCCACTGAAGCTAAGCTGCCAGCTGTAAGCTCTGGATAAAGACAGAGGTCTGCAAAAGTTTCCAAAGAGATGTATTTACAATGTATTGGATGGTCACATAGTCAAATTTTAACTGAGCCAGTGAGACGTGCAAAATATTCGCTAAAAAGTGCAGCTTTCAGGATCTCAGCACTCACAGTCATAGGGCACATACTCAAACGACTGGGACAGGACAGTCCCATGGCTAAAATAAAATCAATAATCAACCCTAAGATAGAAATACATCTACATTTATGGTAAGGTTATAGTGATTGGCTGTGAGAGCTACCAGGCATCCAGCCAATTTGCTTTTCCAGTCTAAAGAAATGCTCAGTTTGTTTGAAAAATGATTTTTTTTCCTGCTGTGAAGAATGCATTGACGTCATCAAACTGGGCCTGCTGAACAAGAGCCTGGAGCAGTAGTGGCATCAAGAAGCTGAACTGTGGGAGTAAGGGTACACATCTATTTTACCTTTCAGTGCCAGGGACAGTTCCCAGGTCTTATTCATCCCCTCTAGAAGAGAACTGCTAATGGGATAAGTGACTTGTAACAAGTTTCAGTTTCCTGCTGTTTTTTTTTTTTTACAGCAGTCACACACACAGACCAGAGAAACAGAGGCTCCTGAGATGCTCCCGCTGAGAGGTCTTTAGTTAAACACAGCTGCTACCCTGGATCTCACTTGGGTTCAGACATCATCTATATCCCTCATTCCAGCAGTCCTACTACTGATACTTCTATCACCAGTGAGAGTTTTACATTTACTCCCTTCCCTATCCCCTCTTTTTTATTTTTAAATACACCATCATCTGCAGCTCTGCATGTCAGATTATCCAACTACTATTTCTTCTGACAGCAACATGCTGGAACTCTCCAATCTGTTTGATTAACACCACACAGCAGCAGCCTTACAGAACAACACAGGAAGCAGCAGAGTTTGCAAACTTCTGAGTGGACACACTGCTTTCCCATTTCTATGCTGCCATGCCGACAGGGTGTTTGGGCCCACCCAGGGCCCTGCTACCACATCATCTGTCCAAGATCCTTTCACTATTACCAACAACCTAAGTGCTTATCAGTAGCACTTTAGAAAGAGCAATCCTGAGATTTTACAAACAGGCCATATCACAGTGCAATATAAAAGCCAACACAGTCACTGAAGATTACTAATATTCTCTCACATTTTCTTCCCTTTTCATTCAAATCAGGTTGCCAAAGTACAACTTTTATCCTCCTTAAATTGAACTTCAGGGCAAATCTATTGTCTACTGAAGAACAGCCAACATATTCAAAACCAGAAAATGCAAGGTTAAGAGATGAAGACAATTGTATTGAGTTCATTACCATTCTAAATTTCTAGAGATCCTACATCTAGCTCACTAATGTACTCCAGGTTTAAGTCTTCTGTGCAACAATGTTCTAAAGTGCATTACAGGTCAAAGGAGAATTTAAGTTTGATGGAAGCACTTTGGCTAAATTATATTGTTTTAATCTAAATTGCCCAATTTTAGCACAAAAAAAAAAATTTGTTAAATAATCACCAATACACAGAAACCAAAACGAAATTGAGTATTAAAAAAATAACAATATATTTTAATTAGGAAAGAAAAAGAAAAAACAAAACCAAACACCAACAATGTGTAACAACCAAAGAACAAAGTGGTAGGAAGCAAGTCAGATCTTATGCTTTTCCCCCCAGAACACAAATGTGGATTCAATGTTTTGAAGTTCAGACCAATACAATGCACAGACCCCAGGTTTATGCTTATTTAACTGTGACATCTTTCCTTCATCTAAGAGACAAAGTGTGATGGCCTTCTCAAAATTTAAATGTTCATAATGTCATAATACCCTGATGGAGTCAGTTTTAATCTGTTCAAGTAGGCTTCTGGGTGAGAAAGAAAGTTTAATGCCAATTAAGGCTTGACTATAAATTCCCAAAACCAGAACACTGCAGTAATATGTTTAAACTCATCCCTATGCCATTTTTGCAGCTATTTTTAACAGAATTTTTTATGATCAGTGCCTGCATGCAAGCACGGAACAACAGTAAAACCCAATGCACAAATCAGAACAGCGCAGTGAGTAGGTCAACAACTTCACCTTAGATTCAAAATCTTACATTTCTAAAGGTAGAGCTGCAAAGAAGCCAAAAAACTCAGGCTGCTACATGGTAACTGTTTCTTGAGTTTGATCCTTCTGAAATCTGCTCCCAATTTGCATATTAGGAAACACGCAGGGACATCTGCTGGTAGAAAAAATTATGCAGCCATCCAAAGGGATTTTGATATACTCAAAAGGTGGGCCTATGGGAACTTTATGAGGTACAACAAAGCCAAGTGCAAGGTGTCGTAATTGGGTCAGGGAAATCCCAGATATGATTACAGAGTGGAAGAACTCCTTGAGAGCAGTCCTGTCAAGCAGTTCTTGGTGGATGAAAATCTGAACTTAAGCCAGCAGCCCATAGGCCAGCTGTAATCCTGGGCTGCATCAGAAAGAGGAGTGCCCAGCAGGATGAGGGGGGTGATTGTCCCTCTCTCCTCTGCTCTCATGAGGCACCACCTGGAGTACTGCATCCAGATCTGGGGCCTCCAGCACAGGAAAGATGTCATGCTTTTGGAGAGAGTCCAGAGTAGGGCATCAAAACACTCAGAGAGCTGGAGCACCTCTCCTATGAAGACAGACTGCAGAAGCTGGACTTGCTTTGGAGTTTTGGAGATGAGAAAGCTCCAGGGAGACTTCATTATGGCCTTTCAGTATATGAAGGGACATTATAAACAGGAAAGAAATCAACTTTTTACATGGGTAGATAGTGATAGGACAAGTGGTAATGATTTTAAACTAAAGGAGTGGAGATTTAGGTCAGATGTCAAGGGAAACTTCTCACTGAGAGAGTGATGAGGTGCTGGTGTGGGCTGCCCAGAGAGCAGTGTATGCCCCATTCCAGGAGGTGTTCAAGGCCAGGTTGGATGGGGCTCTGGGCATCCCGATCTAGTGCTTGATCTAAAGTCGACAACCTGGCCACAGCAAGTTGGAACTTGACAATCTTGAGGTCCCTTCTAGCCTAAGCTGTTCTATGATCTCATACTTTTGCACAGAACTCAGCTGACACATGAATTAAACCTCAGATGGTGGGTAAGTAAGAAATACATTCAAAGCTGCCACTTCTGCCAGCCTAAAAGTGCTGCTACAGCCCAAAAAGGAGCACAAAGTTGGGCACAGCAAAGCAGTGCTTTCATAAGAATAACCAGTCAACAAACAAAACCCCTCCAAACACAGTGCTCTCTCTTGGTTTGCATCTATTACATAAGGAAACTCCAAACAGCTACAGTTACCAGCCAGAAGGCACAACTCCAAGTCATGGGTAGTCACTCTCATTTTCACAAGAAGGTGGCGGCTTCTGAAAGATCTCTTAGAGCTAACTACCAAGAAAAAAACACTCCACCGCAAAACTGATCTGCACACGCTCTCAGTTACACCTCCTGGGGGGCAGGGAGGAATGCAAACGACTTGTACCAAATAGACGTTCCTTACGTTACTAGAAGATATGCAATAGTTAGGGCAAGGGGAATACCTTGATGTTGTTAAATGCTAAGCAATGCTTGGTGAGGACCCAGTTGTGTTAGATTTTGTTTACTGGACAAACCACAATCCTGTAAGTGATGCATTTGGAAATAACACTGTTGCAGTGCAATCTGCAGAGCCAGGCAACACTGTTTGCAGTAACCTCTTTACCCTTATGCAAACTTCCGCTAAAATAAACAACCCTGAGTGCATACCAGTTTGGGTTTGGCCTGTAGGAATGACAGGCCCATAGCAAAGGTACCACACCAAGGAGGGCTGTTACCTCCCAGCTTCTCTCCGTACTGCCAGTCGGAAGGAAAAGAGCTGATTGCTATGGGATACTCCAGAGGCAGCACCTCCAAAAACTGTGTCAGTGCTGCAATTTGTTCTGTCCGGAAGTGGTCAAAAACCTAAAATATTTTATACAGCATCTTTTTATCTTTTTTTTTTTTTTTTTTTTTTTTTTAATGATACACTGAACTCAGTCATCTGCAAACATGGCAGCTAGGAGACAAACCAATAGAAATCTGAAGAGGTGAGTCATAAACTACTGAAAAATGGAGTTTAAAATGAAAATGCCAGCTCAATTACAACCTTCCGAAGGCAGCAGCATCACCTCGAAGATCAAAAGATGCATTGGTAACTGTTACTGTCATGTCAATCCTAACACAGCTAAGGAGGCCACTGTTACATAGGAACTCTGAACCACTAAAAGTCTGTAGGAAAAACAGAAAATCACTGAAAATAGCTTTGAAGTCACAGAAATCCTTCCAACGAGACAGCACAAGAAAGCACAACGCACTTAACTCTGTCCAAACACCTGCTGCACTTCTGAGGATTCAGGATCTTACCCTGCCCCACGCTGCCCATACCAGTACCACACAGTGAGAGCACAGCACATCCGCTACCCAGGGCTGGCTCCGGGCTGCGGCAGCCAGGATCGTCACACACCCGCGCTGTGCAGGAATACCCCGAGGGGCCGGGCCGGGGCGGGCTGGAGCGATGTTTATCAACATGGGAGGAGCCGGACTCGGGCAGAAGCCCGGAGGCTTTCGTTTTGTAGGCGGGTTGCGAGACGGCGCTGCGCGGGGACATGGCTCGGGGACTCTTTCACCTGCTCCTCGTAAGTGGCCGCCTAGCAGCGGGGTGCCGGCATGGGACGTAGGAAGCTGCGGTAGCGGTGCCGAAAGCGCTGCCCGGCCGCCAAACAAAGAAACTTGTTCTATTTTCCTGGGGAACTCATGTAATTAATTCAGGTTCAGACTCGTAGCTATGTTATAGTCACCGCGTAGGGCGGCGGGAGCTGAGGAACAGCGGTGGGAAGGAGGGGACGGGTGCCGGTGGGGCTGCTGTCCGTGGCGACGCTGCGGGGCGCGTATCGTCACGGTGAGGGGGCACGGCGGGCCGGGCCGGGAGGGCAGCGCGGAGGAAACGGCTTCGACGGAGGAGCTGCTGGCGGTGACCAGCGGTGAGCCCAGAAAATCTGGAGACGTTGAACGTAGCACCCTGGGCAGAGGCACTTACTGGAAAGCGGGGCAGGGCGTTTCTTTCTCGCGTGAATCATTGCCCCGTGCAGAGTACACGTCTTGGTACCCTCAGGGCACGGGTCAGCCGCCTACGTTTATTACTACCGATGGAGATACCTTCACATCCATTTTGCCACATGGAGGTGGTTCAGCACCCGCAGCACGGGCAGCCTGTAGGAGCATTAGACCCTGGGGAGAGCTGGACGCTGGCTGCAGCTGCGCCCAGAGGGGGGACGGCGGGGAGGTGGCCTGAGACAGCCAGCCCTGTGCCATGGCAGAGCTGCGCCTGTCCATCCCTGTGGACACTGCATGCGTCACTGCCCCCGCCTGGCCCTCGCCCCTTGGAACGTGCTGGGATTCACACTCACAATCTCTTTGTACTGTTGTTGTGTTCCCTCTGAATATGAGTTACCTTGGGTTTGGCAGGTGTGAAAGTTAGAAACAGTATAGATATGATTTATTATACAACAGGTAGTAAACAAAAGGATTTATAGCGTGATTTTAAGGTTCTATGCACACCCTTGCACAAAGTGTAAGTAAATACAAAGAGCTGCTGACGGAAGTATGCATTATCTCTTGCTGTACAGGCAGCAAACAAGTGGCAGAAATGTATACATGCAGAATTGGCCTCGCTCAGTGTCTCAGAGCTATTCAGAACAGAAATTAAGATTTAAAAAAAAAATACATTCTCTTACCACACAGCTTCCGGAGTAGAAAGATCATTCTTATTCTTACTTTCCGATTGTTTCCAAACAGCACTCCTACATGCATTCTATTAAAAATATATATATATTTTTATTAGCATGTGGTTCCACTACTTATAAATCAGTAAGTCTGACAAATGTTTGACTTACTAACTTGATTAAACCAGAATGTGAAAGGAGTCTGCTGAATTAAACGTCAATTTTGCAAACCCTCTGCTGCGCTAAAGTAAAAGCAGTTGCAAGGATACTAATGCAAAATAGCAACGAGACCCACAAAACTAGAAAACATCTAACTTCACCCTAATTCAAAAAACACATATTATTCAGAGATGCACTCTAGAGAGGAATAAGCCATTTTGCGAAATGTTATCTAAATATTTTGTAATGATTTATACAATTATTTACAAAGCAGGCAGTCTTCTGGGAAGTTAGAAGATATGCCTTTGAAAACAGTGCCACACAGCTGTACTGACCCCTCTTTCTTGCTTTGCACAGGATCAATACAAATATTTAAATGTATGCATATAAGCAGCCATAAAATCATAGGATGACCCCGGAAACAACTGAAAAGTGTAAGCATTCCAGCTCTAGAGGAAAATGGAAAAAAAATCTAAATTTCTACCACTCCACCTCTTGGCCACAGTATCACAAAGTGAAATGGTAGCTATTACTACCCTCCAACTTTCTGAAAGTCGGTAGTGTACAGAGCTCCTAAAAAAAGAAAAATTAACAAACAACCAAACTACTCCCATCCCCAAATATGTTGCTGTGATTGGCACGTGAGACAACTGAGATGTGAAATAGTAATGGATTGAATTTGGATTGCGATTTTAAGACATGGCAGTAACTGAGGGTTGTTGCCATTGCAGGTGCTGAACACATACACTTCAGATTTCAGGAGGTTGGGATGCCTCTATGTGTGGGGAAATACCAACTCCCATTCCTAGGCCTCAGAAAATAAAACTTTCTTAGTTCTCCTCATACAAAGACTTACAACTTGAAGAAATACTACCTTCAGTGCCCACTTTGGTGCTAGCTACCAACTTCTGCATTAGTGGGGGAAAAAAAAAAAAAAAAAAAAAGAGATGGGGAAAAATTGATACTGGAAATACTGGAAGCAGTAATTTTTGTTGTACTGAAAGAACTGAAGCAGAGAATACTTGTAACAGGCACTATATCATTTCTTACTCTGAAAAAGCATCTTGAAATGTTTGTGAAAGTGAGACTGCTTACAAGGAAAACTGTACTAAAGTGGAGCTAACTCTAGAAAGTCAAAGAAATAACAGAAGCAAGTTAAAAAAAAAAAAAAAGGCTAAGGTTTTTCTTGGCAAAAAAAAGAAAGAAAAAGAGAAAATCCTCAAATCCTCCCTCCCCCTCTTTTCTTTTTTTAACACTTAGAAAGCCCCTGATGACCTCATGCATGTTGCCCCAGGTAATAAACATGGAAGGAAAATAGTCACCAACTTCTGAAAGCATCAGCTCTCTCATCTGTAGGCATCTATAGCTTAGGAAGGGGGAAAGTGGCTTAATAAAGGTCAAAGGTATTATAACAGAAAAAAAGCAGTGACAAATTTTTACTTACAGGGTGAAATATCATAAAGCTTTAAAAAGGCCTGCATGCAAGTAAAAGATTCATGCACTTCCATAACGATCTTACAGCCCCACAAGGTGTGTCTGCTGAAAGGTTTCCAGTCAAGGAAGTTGACCCATTATGAAGAACACTTGGATACAGGAAGAATCTGAGGACTGAGAGTTACAATACCGCAAGTTTTCAAGGGAACTGTAACTCTTGTCATTGCCTTGGGAACATAGATGGAGACAGATTTTCTATCTCTCATGCTGTTGCAGAAAGCATTTTTGAGGAAGGAAAAGAGGAGAGGGAGAAGATAAAGGTCTCTTAAATTCCTATGCAACGCAGAAAGAGCAAAACCAAAAAATTTAGGCCCACGCAATAATTCTTATGGAACCTGTTAAGATCAGATCTCCCTGTTGACTGCCCAGTTCAGTCAATTTTTAGATATGAAAACTGTTTTTTAGTTTAGGATGAGTAGAACAAAGCATTTGTGAATCATTTTAGACTGAAAATACACGGCCTCTATTTGAACATACACATCATAAAAAAGCACCTTTCACCCCTGCCTCTCTGAAACCCCCTAAAACACTTCCTTTCTGCTGGCTGCACTCACTGCTCAGCAGCAGCAAGAAAAAGAATTAAGCTGTGCTCTGAATGCTAAACAACAGTCCAACACTTACAGAGCAAGTGAAGTTATCTTCATAGAGTGCAAAACCAGGAGAAAAAAAAATTCAAAATAAAAATGTTACTTGGAAAACTAAAATCCTCTAACTTCTGTCATTGTTCCTTATGCAGGAAGGCCCCTGCAAGCAAAAGCTATGTAGGTGTTGGGTGCTGCTTAAAGTCAGGTTCTGAGAAGTGATCCCCACTTCTTGTAAGTGTACCAGGAAGTTCATCTCTGCAAGTGACAGTGGCAGGCTTCCATAAAAAAAAAAAAAAAAAGCAAATTTCTGCCTCTCCCCACTCTATCAGCTTAGTTTGTCTGTATAAAAATGCAAAATTGAGTTTTGCTTGGCAGAAGTATGTCCATGCCTGCACTGTGATTGCAGTGGTTCAGTAAACCCTGAAAACAACTCTACTAACTTTAACTGATAGTAGTCATTTAGAAAGAAGTTTCCTTCTTTCATTTTATCCCATTTCCTACATGATTCTCTCTATGTTTTCTTTCACGGCACACATCCTGTTCTTTGCCAGTATCATTCAGTTCTTCTGAGAGAAGAACTGAACGATAAACCTGAGACGTTTATAGATGTGTTAGGGATGCAGTAGGGCTATAGTAATCTTCACTCTCCATTAGTGTGGCTTGGGGTTGTCCTCTTATTCCCCAAAAACCACAACTGCTGCTTCACAGCTCTAAAGTGGTAAATTTGAGTGCCTAAAGCACGATGGTGGCTGCTCCCCAGCAGGCATATTACATAGCCAGGCAACAGGTGAGGGCAGATGAGGAGGAAGGAACTGCTTGGTGCTATGGTGGAGCAGAGAATTCTGAGATGCAAGTGGGTACATCCAGGAATTGGCTACATGCTCAGGACTGGCACTGCTACTCATCACTGCTGAGTCACAATATCTCCATCAGAGAGGAGAGAACCAGCTACTTCCCCACTGACTTCCTCATGCTGCAAACACTGCTCACATCTGTCTTCTACGTGCACAGATGGGGGCTGAAAGCCTGGTGCCAATGAATTTCCTGGAGCTGGCTTCCACAGAGCTGCCAGGACCTCCAGATCCAAATTCCCTGCACCATTTTCTTTCACAAATGGATGTTCTTGGTCCAGCTCAACAAACAGTGCACCCACTAGTTTCCTCAGCCCAACTCCAGATTTGGCAGAGGAGTAGAGACAAGGGGCTCTGTCTTCATCCATGGGAAGCCAAACCAGGCTGATGGCAGGCAGTGGTGGTCACCCCTGCAAGGCTGCCCTTGAGGCCTGGCCCCCAGAGGCAGCAGCATGTAGAGCAGCACACTCCACCACCACCTGACAGAAAACAGGCACTGCGCTGCAGGGAGAGAGACCTGCTTTTTGGTAACTGCCTTCTGATTGGACTTTCTATCCCAGCTGTTAGACTGATCTCCCAGGCAAAAGGAAAACAAATCACATGCGGCACAGCAGTTTGAGAGTTTCTGTAAAAGTTTACTTTGTAAACAACTTTGCATGCAGTTTCTGAGAAGCATGTCCAGAAAGCTTAGGCACCAAAGTCAAAGTGCTGAACAAGAAAAGTCATGCATCCAGCCCAAGCATTCAGTTAGTTTTTTGGCTGCTGAAACCCCTCCTCCAGGTGCAAACAAAGGCCTTCCTAAGTTCCATCTAGGAGCTGATGGATATACATTTTGAAACAGATGAGTATTAGGAAAAGGTTCCTGTCTGTGAATAGCCTAGAGGATCAATAGAAGTGGCTACTTGTAGAAGTCTCCAGTCAGTATACTGATTACTTCTGTTCATCAGCTACAGATAATGCTTCCTTGACATCAGAAGCCAGTCTGAAATCCAACTCCCTTTTCCAGTAAGTTCATGACATACACTTTTTTGCATCTAACTGAAGTAAAAGTGTTGAAGCAGTTTCACACAAAACCACGAGGATTACATGAATTAGCCACTAAATATCATCCTCTGGCAGACAAAAGCAACAAACCCAGGCATTATGCAGCTTTACTTGAGAATGCATTCAAAGAAATGGAATAGGGTGTAAATTAGATAGAATGGAGAATGAGACTTCTTTAGGACTGTATAAACATCATCTGCTGAGGAGAAAAAGGAGTTGAATTGGAAAGCAAAGTAAGAATAAGATCAATTTAGAAATCAGGTATTTGGGGTGATATTAAAGCACAATTATTATTTTTTTCTTTAGAGAATTATTAACATTCAGTTTGCAAGCAACACTACAGTAATAAAAACATAAAATATATCATTTGAAATAAGGATATTCTGTAAGGAAGAATGTTACCAATGACTCAGAAAAATAAGATTATAAAACAGTGATGTGATGCACAGAATGCTCTTCAAGAAAATAATGGAAGTTTCTTTGCTTTGCACCATAACTAGGCATATGAGGTTATCTTTTACATCTCAGATGTATGGGCCTGTTCTCAAGCACTAATTTTCAAACAATCAGTGCCTGCAATGGTAGAGATGATAGCATTAAATCTGATATGTCTTCTCATTTTCCATTAACTCTTCTGACCTAATAGACAACTTTAGTAAGGGGGGTGAGTGCCAACATCTTTAGCAATGGAATAAGAGTGCTGATGTACTCTGTGCTAGCAGTAACATGCACCCACAGTCCTTGGTAATTTCCTATATAATTTGCTGTTTTTCTCTCCTAGATGGTTGCATTAGTTATGGAAACACATTGCAAAAATGATACAGAGATTCCCATACACACAGCACACAATAAATCTGTTACAAGGAAGAGAAACATTGCTAAGCGAGAGATTATCTGTGCAGAGGAAGAGTACATTTTAAATGATCAGTGCTGCAAGAAATGTAGACATGGTGAGTATCATTGTAAGACTGTGCTGAAAAGTCATTAAAGTAGAAACCACAACACATGCAGATGCTTTCTTCTGGGATTAGCTCAGTTATGGTCTTCTGGATGCACTTCATTCTAGCTGCATCTTTCTCTATTGCAGGACTTAAACACATCAAAAGCATTTCTTGATTCAGTGCACCTGTAGCTTTTCACTACAGATCACACATTAAATGCTTGCTGCAAATAATAATAATAGTCTCACATTACTTACACAGCTTTAAAAGAGGTTAAAAAACTGCAAAAATGAGGTTTTGCCAACAAGATACTCTATATATTCATGGGTTTTCTAATTTTGCATGCATAGTTTTGTTCGGTGTGTTTTCTTTCTCTCCTGGATAGGAGAAGGGGGGGTTGGGGGGGGGAGAGAGGTGGAAATAATCTCTTACAAACACTGCCCTCCTGAAGAGAATATATGTATGCATAACGAATATGGATTCTATCTGTATTTGTAAACTGAAAGGTATTAGAGATTAAAAAGAAGTCTGATAGGTCTCAAAGCTGATGGCCTTTGTCCAAAGGTATTACATATGTTTTTCTTGTTTCTCTGTCTTTCTGCAGGTCATGTCAAAAGTACTGAGTGCCCAAACACTCTAGCACATTGTGTACCATGCAAATCTGGAGAGGAGTACATGGATCATATCAATGATTTGGACAAGTGTATGAGATGTCGTTCATGTGACATAGCACTTGGTATGTCTATAGAAACAACAACTCTGTTTAGAGGCAGGATTCAATTGAAAGATCTCTTCAATCCCCAAGTAACAGGTAGCATATAGATCAAAACGTTTTACAAGTTCGACCCTGAGAAGTTTATGACAAAGTCTTAAATTTATCCTCTGGTTTCTTTTCTAAGCACAGAGTAGGAAGAGGAACAAGGTAAGTTGCCCCATTATTTATTCTTATATCTGTCTTTGCTCAGTCAGGAAGCATTTGGAGAGCAACATCCCATCTCTTCCACACTTGCCTCTGCAGTGCCTTTCTTCACACAGAGGCAGGAAATCCAACTGTCCTGAGGCACTCTGATGTTGCTAGTTTGATTTACAGCAGTTAATGCTTGTGCACTAACCTCAACTTTGGGTTATGATATACTCTTATTAAATTGTCTTACAAGCACTGTATTATTTTCCCTATAGTAAGGGACTCTACAGATGATGATTTTATTTGGTATGTAGTAGTCCACTCATTAGAAGCATGACAAATATCTTTACCCAGTAACTTCACTGATAATAATGTAGGAAAAAAACAAAAAAAGACTGACAGGATACCGCACCTTATTCCCTCCATCAATCTTGAGATGCAGATAGTTTCTGAGTTCTCAGAGGTCATGTATCCCCAGAAGAGTGTGTTTATCTTTAACTGCCCTCTAAGTACATAGAATTATAGAATCACTCAAGTTGGAAAAGACCTTTCATTGAGTTCATTGAGTCCAACTGCAACCAACCATACTACCCTAACTCTAGCAACCCTCTGCTAAATCATGTCCCTGAGCACCACATCCAAACAGTTTTTAAACACATCCAGGGATGGTTACTCAACCACCTCCCTGGGTGGTTGGCACAAAAAAACCCACGTTGGTTGTAGTTTTGAAGTGATGGTGGAAAAGTGAAATAGAATATAAAAATCAATTCAGTTCTGAGCATGGGCTTTTCTTCTCAAAAAAAAAAAAAAAAAGAAAAAAGAAAAAAGAAAAAAAAAAGAAAAAAAGAAAAAGAAAAACCACCCAATACAGAGTGGTTAGATTCAGTGAAGGAAAGTTGCTCTCTCCTCTTCATTCTCTGTTTTAAAAGGAATGTTGTAAGAAGTAGAGAAGGGAGCATTCCCAGTCATTTCCTTTGCAGTCTTTCATGTAATTAATATTATCTGAAACTTCTGGAGCTGATAGAGTGATGCTTTTTATACATTCAATGTACAGCATGGAATATAGGATCAAATCATTATACTATAAGGCTTGCTCTCCTGTGTCAGACAAGCAGTCACCCCCCCCAGTATTCAGGCAAGAGATGCTATTCACAGAATCATAGAATCACCAAGGTTGGAAAAGACCCACAGGATCACCCAGTCCAACCATCCACTTATCACCAATAGTTCTTACTAAACCATGTCCCTTGACACAATGTCCAAACATTCCTTGAACACCTCCAGGGTCAGTCACCTGCTCCTGGTGACAACACTGTTTCTGATGCAAGCCAGGATGCCACTCGCCTTCTTGGCCACCAGGGCACACTTCTGGCTCATGTTCAGCCAAACATCAATCAATAACCCCAGAGTAGAAATACACAAACCTAATTTCTGTGTTCTAATTCCTGCAAAGGCTGCTAGCATTCACAGTTGTGGAAGAGGATGTTTGAAGGTCCATCTCTACCTAGATAATTTCCTATCTATTAATGAGCCCTTTGTGTATTTATCTGCTGGTCTCACCAAGTCTCAAAATCCAGTGACAGTCATATATATATATATATATATATATATATATATATATATATATATATATATATATATATATTTGAATTCATAAAACACATTTCCCTGCCAGCTTCACCAGGTTTCTGGTATAGCTGGATTCAGGGAAGAATAGTTCTGCATTCATCACATCAAAAATCCAGATTGGTAAGTAGGGAGACAGTTTTTAATTCCAATGCAGTGGAAGGATGGCTAGTCACATTATCTCATGGAAAATAATGTTGAAGAGAAGTTAGTTAGAAAGTGCTAGGCAGGAGGAAGGCTACCACTTAAGCTCCTAGAGGACCATTCTTAGGATCACTTATGTTTTGTATCTTCATGAATGGTGTCAGCATTGGTTTCACAGTAATCAATTTTTAGAAATAACATGGTTTCCTGTTATAGAAGGACACTGAATATGGTAACTCAAAAGTTCCCTTCATAGCCAAGAAAATAGCTTCCACAGTAAATAATAAAACAAAAATACTTCTTTTGAGATGGAAATCATCTCTTCATACACATTGAGGCCAAGAAAAAAATAAACTTGGTTTGAAACTTATGCAGGGAACATGTTAGATAGAGGGAGTAGAATTCCTCACTACTGAAGGTTCTCAGGAAGAGATAAAACCTGTCTGACAGACAGAAAACCAGGAGGGTTATGTGATATCTTTTAGTTCCTTCTGGCTTTACGCCTTTTTCCTATGGGGAGGAAAAAACAACAAACAACAACAACAAAACCGACAACACATGACAATGCCAAATGAGTCCTTTACTGTGTGATCAGCTTTTTGAGCTCTTAGCCAGCAGAGGTCTCTTTGCCATCTTGGTGTTTCCAGTACTGTCAAAGCAAGGCTCATCATAAAAGCTACGTTGTTGTTATTAAGTGCTGCCAGCGCCAGCAGTGGTGGTGCTAAAGACATGCAGGTCTGAGGACAAGAGCTTGTAAGCAAAGACTTGTGTTTTCAAACTAACGAACTTTAAGAATTCATTTTAGGTTGGAAGGTTGTAAAGAACTGTACCCCAACAGAGAATACAGAATGCTCCTGTGCAAAGAACCATTATTGCAATCCTCCTCAATGTGAACACTGCGAGTCATGTACCGTGTAAGTGGATGCCTTCATTGTTAAATATGACACTGTTAAGATCATGTTACCACACTTTTTTTTCCAGTCAGTTTCAAGACAGAGTCTATGATAATATATAAGCTAAGAGAAAACAGCCTAGTTTTGCTTTGCACTTAGCATATTCAGCTGGCTTTGCTCAGTTTAATTAATTAAAACGTATGCAGAAAAACATAAGTACTCTTCAAAACCTCTAATTAAGCATCTAAGCTTTCCTGTTGCTTTTGCGTTATCTACTGTTATGTCATTTCCATACTTTCTCCCATACTGTTTTTCATACTTGTTAAGTTCCGAAGTCTAGCATCCTGGTGTATGACACCATTGGCTGATTAGAAAGCAATAGAAGATTGTGATTTGCTCTCTTAGGCAATTTATAAAGAGAGAAACAAATTCCAAAGTCATTTATATTTTCTGCAGATGTGAAAATGGCCTAGTTGAAAAGGAATGCACTTCAACTTCAGACACTGTGTGCAGAATGCAAGGTACCATCTTAAAAACTAGAGTGGACTACCATCTGCTATATTTTGAGAGGCTATTGGAATTGTACTGTGTTCTGCACAGTGCCCCATAGCCATTCCTAACACTATCTGCTGGGTCTTGTACTGACTTATGGACCATGACTGCTCTTTTGATCACAGTGGAGATGGGGTGGCTCAAGTGCTACCTTCTGCTATTTGGAGAGAGTAGAAGGGTGCCTATAATCTGATGAAATCTTGTTAAATTTTTCAAGTGTGTTGCTGTATTGCACTGCTTGACTCAGCTTTACTGTAATGTTTCCAATGTTCCAACAGAAGCAGGAATGCCACCTTTGGGCACCGCATTTATTGCCGTATTTGTGATAGCATTAGCAGCTGCAGCAGGATTCATATACTACCGTAAGTGATTCCCTGTTCCTTGTTACTGCCATACTCTGAATAAGATATTCAGCTGCTTACTCAGATGTAATTTTATGTTTTTGGAGTCCAGAGAAATACATTGCCCTGGATTATTAAAATGTTTTTTTTTTGTTTGTTTGTTTTATTGTTGTAGGTAAGAGAAAACGGGAGAATATTATTACCCAAGGTAACACAGCCACTGGTAGAGACAGTTCTGATGTAAGTACTATTGCTTAGATCAGATAAAATTCAGCTTGGTGTGGGGAACTTTGCTCCATTTAAATTACTGTGGGATTGCCCAAGCGTGTGCATGCCTCTCTTCTACGACATCAGTGAAGTAAATTTCACTGTGAGGAATCTTGGCAGAAGCAAAAGAAACTCCATATCATTTCTTCAGGATTTGCTGGTGCACTCAGTTACATGACCAAGATCAGAAGTTCATAAATCATCACACCTCCACTGAATTGATATCCTATCCCTGTGCATATTTTTATTCAATAGCAATTGTGAGGTGACTCCTCAAGATTACTGAAGTGAAAAGAGGGGTCCAGTCTGATTCCATATCTCATAGAACAGAAGAATCACAGAGAAAGCCAAAAGAAAATTTCAGAAGTGTTATGACAACTATTTATTCTGTTATATGGGGTTGGCCTTTTATAAAACATTTTTGCACTCATTTCTTGCTTGCTTCTCTTTACAGGAGACTTTGACACTCGTATCTATAGGTAAGAGACAAGTAGTTTCTCAAACTTCAGTAAAATAAAAATGCAGACATAAACTCTATTATACTAAAGAAAGGGTATTTTTCTGTATAGACTGCCACTTTGTAGAGCTGTCACTCTGGCACAACTGTGAACACTTATAGAAATGCCAGGTCATAATGTGCTTAAGGCATTTAGTGGTGCCACTAAACTTTTGCCTGAGGAGGAGTTGTTGTTGTTTAGGAAGCAACTACTGATTGACAGCAGGTAAATTTCTATTCTGTATATGGTACAGACACTAGGAGGCAGCAAGCTGGATTTCTGGAATCACAGATAATTTTAATAATTGAGCAGCCCTGCAGCCAGCAATGGAATCACAGAAACCTACCTTAGCACAGGACCTATCTTATGTTCATGAGCAAAAACACAGTGGTAACACTCAACAGGAGAACAATACAAGCTCTGAGACTACGTAATAATAAAAGACCTGTCTTGCTCTTTTATCTGCTATTTTGAGCAAAACAGGTAAATGAGGAATGACAAGGCTTTGTAGTGGTTACATATGATGAAGGGGTTACAGAGGAAACAGGTTCTAGTTCAGTTGCCAGAAGGCAATAGTTACTTAGTACAGAATCAAATTGAAAACATATGGAGTCATGAATATCTGAATCTTGATCTGTTTTAAATAGAAGTATTAGCTCTGAATATAGATGATTAAAAAAAAAAAAAAAAAAAAAAAAAGCACACAAAACCAACAAACAGATGTCAGTGTCCAGGGCATTCATTTCTTTTCATGTTTCTAGATGATGAGCTGAGCCGCCATATCCCTGACATCGTGAGGGAGATGACACTAGATGAGGTCAAGGCATTTGTTCGTCATCACGGTCTTTCAGAACCTACCATAGATGAAATTATCCAGGATAACTTCAATAACACATCTGAACAGAAGATTAAGCTCTTTCAGAAATGGCACCAAATGCATGGGATAAGAGGAGCCCATGGAACCCTAATAAGCAGCCTGAGAGATTTAAAAATGCGTGCAGTAGCTGATAAAATTGAGGAAAAACTGAAGGCAGCTGTTTCAAGCCACCAGGAAAGGAGGGAGTCTTATAATGATAAAACTGTGCAAAGCAATTCCTACAGTCAGGAAGGTGGAAAATCTTATCACGATAAAGCTGAAATAAGTAAAACCTACCCTGAGAGTTTGGAAGAAACATAGCATAGAATTATATTAAAATTATTTCTGACTGAATTAGTATTTTTTTACTACTACAAATAACAAAGCTTCTGAAAGCCATTTGGTTGGCAGCTCAGGGAGTTTTTCAGGGTACTTATAACACGAAGAAATTTTGGATTTTTGTAAAGGTATGTTTCCTTTAAAAAGAAGTCTTAACTGTTTATTTTGATTGTTAAAAACAGGACAGATTTATGGCTTATTAAAGGTAACAATAGAAGAGTTCAGCCATAGGACTTGCTACAAAAAGAACAAAGTAGTAACTGGCAGAAAGGTTTAACTCAAATGTGGTAGTCCTGAACACTGACTCAATGTAGAGTTTCAATTACATTGTAATTATGGGATGTTACATTTTTCAAAGCAAAAAGTCTGATGTTAAAAGTCAATGAAATAAACAAGGAAGAATGCTTCAACAACAAAATAATAAGCCTTTGTATAATATACCCCTAATTAATTCTAAATATATATCTTAATCATAGAATGGCTTGGTTTGGAAGGGACCTTTAAGGATCATCTGCCATGGGCAAGGTTGCTAACCACTAGATCAGGCTACCCCAGGAACCTTGTTATAACACCTCCAGGAACTGGGCATCCATAGCTTCTTTGGACCATCTGTTCCAGTGCCTCATCACCCTTTGAGTAAAGAATTTCCCCCTAACATCTAACCTAAATCTCCGCTCTTCCAGTTTAAAACCATTCCCCCTTGACCTATCACTACCTACCTCTGTAGAAACTCAATCTCACTCCTGCTTATAAGCTTCCTTTAAGTACTGAAAGGCTACAGTGAGGTGTCCCTGGAACCTTCTCTTCTCAAACCTAAACAAAGCCCAGCTCCCTCCACCTATCTCCACAGGTTAGATGCCATCCTCTGGATCCACTCTAACGCCTCCACATTTTTCCTGTGCTGGAGGCCCCAGACCTGGATACAGTACTCCAGGTGGGGTCCTCACATCCTCCCTGATTCAAGTGCAACACGTTGCATTTGTCTTTGTTGAACCTCATTATGCTTATGCAGCCCCACTTTTCAAGCCTGTTCAGGTCCCTCTGGATGGCATCTCTCTCTTCTATGTCAGCTGTACACAGTATTAGTGTCATCAGCAACTGTGCTGAGAATGCACTTGATTCCATCATCATTGATAAAGGCATTACAGAGCACTGGTCCCAAAATGGAATCCCAGGGGACACCACTTGTGACAGGCCTCCACTTGGACATAGAGCAGCTGAAAAAAACCCTCTGGCTGTAACCATCCAATTAACTCATCATCCACCAAATAGTTCACCCTTCAAATTATTTTCTCTCTAATTTAGAGATAAGGATGTAGTATGGGAAAGCACCTGTGGTTTTATATGTCTATATTTATCTGAATGTATAGATGTGTTTTCTTTCTCAAAGCCCTCAGTACTAAGTAAGATTACTTCCTATATTCTCTGCACTGATTACAAGCCTATTTTCATATTAAAAACAAAAAAAACAAAAAAAAATACCCCACAAATACAAAACCTTCAAAGAATCAGAAAGAGAGATAGAGCGGCACAACAAAGCCATCGCTATTTGAAGGCAATCTGCACAAACTGTGATGTCTCCATACCCAGATGTGTAGCAGTCAGCACCATGCTTTGAAAAGAATAAAAAAAAATAATCAACCAAAATCTTACCTTCCTTTCATCACAGATTCCAAAGGTCTCCTAAATTCAATGATCAATAGCACTGAGCTGCTTTGTAGTGAGGCTTTTCTTACTCATGCACAGATTTATGCTATCATTCCAAATCTTTCAGCAGAAAACCTTACTGGAAAGGTTAGATTTTTTTTTTTTTTCACCCAGGACCTTTTTTAGTTCTACCATCCATTCCCTAGAAGGAATTTCTTATTAAGCATCAAGCAAAATACAAGAAAACCTTTCCAAAAGCTGAAGGCTGGGGTCTGTAATCAGGTTCAATTTTTGCCAGCTGGCCCTAGGGTGTGGCCAGAGCAGAGTGGGTATACAAGCAGGGAGCCAGGTGCTGGGAATCAACCCCAGTGCAAGGCTGAGTGTCCACAGGTGCTATAGGGATGCTCACAAAGTCATGCTGCTGGCAGGGCAGTGTTTAGCCCCTGAAAACAATTGGGAGTGCAACCACAGTTCTGAGTGTTGTGCTAAGCTAAAATGAAGAATAGGGCTTACATTAGTTTCAATAACTTACAACTTTTCATAAACTAACTTGTCCAATGTCTGAAGGTCACTAACTATTTTGTTGCCAAACCTAGCTTGGCTCTTTCTCAGTTTTCTAACACCACAGAAGTCCATGAGCCTGGAAAACCCTTTAAGCCTGCATTACAGCCTTTTTCCTCTAAATATTCCACTTTTTCTACGTGACCTGATAAGTCAGCTTACTATACTACCAAATTCCCCACAGTGCTGCTTTTGGGCAGCCATAGCTGAACAGTTTAATATATGTGCACTTGGACATTTAAGGACTAACTCCACAATGTGGTTAAGGCATTGTGTTGTATAGCTGACTTGTGTCTGTTCTAGCTGTGTACAGATCTGATACTCTGGAACAGTGTGTTACTCATTGCCATGTTTTGATCAGACTCTATGTATAGGAGAATAAGCTGTCTGCCTTTTGGAAAAGCAGCACAGCAGTGGTGTAGGCAGTGCTGTAATTGTTTCCCAGGCTGCAGTTATGCAGAAGTACAGCCAAAACAGGAAGGAAGAAATGTTCTATGCTCTGATAACTCCAATCCTGGTAGGCAAGCTGCTCCCAGTACCACGTCCCACCCAGGAAGACTTACATATAGCTTAAAGGTATGTTGGCATTTGCTTGACTTGAATCTTGGCTTTTCTTGGTTTCCGGCTTCATCTCTCAAAGATGGCATCTGGTCACCAGAAACCAAAGTTCTTAGGACTTTAGTGTCAGTTAATATAACTGGTCTGAATAAGACAGATTTTAAAATGGAAGCAGCAAATCTCATAAACTGTGGCAGTGAAAAAGAATGTGGATTCTATCTTTCAATACATTGGAATTCCCCAACCTCAGTAAAATGAGGATGGTTAACTTTAAAAAAGTCCCTGAACAATGAGTCATATTCTCCTTAGGAGACATCTACATGGCTGAAACCAGGCTGCCATGAACTCTAGTAGTCAGCACACATTCTAATTTTTTTTTCTTTACCAGGACATTGTGCAACAAATAAAAGGACTGATAATATCATGAAGTTGTTTTTTCTAAGCACTGAATATATGTCTACATTGACAAGTGTAAAGCTACCTGTCAAGCTTAAAGAAGTTGGACCAGGGACCAAAAGTGATTTAGTTCTGCTGAGTCACACTAGCACATCCAAATTTCCATTGCCTCATGCTTCTGGCCTCATTCTCAAATTTGGACTGCAAAAGAAAATATCACTAGTATGGTGTCACCTTTTGCTCTCACCTTTCCTTCTCCAAAAGTCTGCAGCGAGTTTCATGCTGATGAGATGGCAACCACCACAGCTGCTGGCTGAAACTTATTTCTGATATCTTTATCCTGTGCACTGCAATCTACACACAAGCAATAATTAGCTTCTATCTCCTCAGTAACAACGTTGTGTAAACAGACAGCCATGTAAAATAATACTTTTCAGCTCTGAGGAAAAAGGAAAAAATAAAAATTAAAATAAAGAAAAAGGAAAACAAAACAAAACAAAAAAAAGCAACAGAAATGGCTTTGACTAATACAGCTGTACAGTTAGTAGAAACCCAGCACCAGAAAAGCAAGTGGAAAGTGAAACAGAAATTTGTCCAGGGAATGAGTTGGCATGTTTTGAAAAAGGGGAAGCTCCCTCTTCAGGAAAGCAAAATTTTGCAAAACACCTGCATTTATTATAGAAAAAAAATAAAAATAGAAATAAAAATAAAAAGGAGTGCAAAGCCTGAAGGATGAAGTTCAGTCACCTGCAAACTGAAGGTGACCCCATGAGAGATGAGTCTACTCAGAAACTCATGCACTCCTAGCAGTGCACACCCAGCCATCCCCTCACCCATGCTGCAAACAGTAGAATGGTTGCTGCAAGCAGACCTGACCTGAAGGACATTAGCGAGATCACAGTGACAGCCTAGCACAAGAAGAAAGCAGGACACTCCCAGGATGCCTACAAAGACAGCAGTGCTGCTGTAATTGCTGTTTTAAAGTCATACTGCAAGCTGCCAGTTTGTGAAAAGGCACAGCGGAGAAATAAAGTGATTAGGACAGAAACAAAAATGCTTCTTTACAGCCAATATGACAAGCACACTAAAATGCGAGAGAGCCATAGCTTATTTTCCTGCATGGAGGAGACAGAAGGAATACAATAAAAACAAATTTGGGAGAACAATAAAACTGTGTTGCAAGAAGCTTCAGAACTGGACAGATGTCCATTTTGAGGAAAGATACAAACTTATAACATACAGCCGTCTCTTACTGTTGTTAGGACTTTGATTCTGGACTTGAAACGGGTGCTTCCATTCCTGCTGTCCCACTGCAAGCAAGCAGAAAAGTGCCCTCTGCATGCATCTGGCCTCCAGCACGGAGCTGTGGCTGAGAACTAAGAGAGATGTGGGAACAGTGACAAAACCTAACGCACAAGCAGTATGTTCTGGATAGCTTTTCAGTGGTTTTAGTTCCTTTCCAAACTGAAAGCATGGTTTTTAATGCAGACAGTGCTAGAGGGCTCTTTCCCACAGCTTTAAGCCAAGGCTTCCTGCACCCTCAGTGAACCGGTGACTGTGACAGAGTGCTGTTCTTCATTGAAGGCAGGCACAAAACACTCTGGTGATGGCAGCATTCAGAACAGAGGGCACTGAACAAATCCAGGGAGGAGGCTGACCGAAAGCCTAGGCAGAAGGGAGCCAGAGAGCAGAGCTGGGGGGCAGTGCTTGGCCCCCTGCATAGTGAATCTCATAGCACACCAAGGCCCTCCTTGCATCCTTGTACCCTGAAAAGCAACACATTTCTGATTGCAAACATCTCACCTCTTACATTTGCTTTTTTGGCCTTATATAGGGTGTAGGAAGAAGGAAGGCAAGCCAGGAGGCTATGGGTTTGCCTCTGTGATGTGAGAACAACAAATACTTGTGTACTTTATGGAGGGGTGTGACTGGGTTTATAACAAAGAGTGTTCTCTTGTATATAACGGATAGCGGTCACTCAATAGTTGAGTATTTTTGAACCTCTCAATCAAATCTCTTCACATTTGAATTCCTCTAAACTCGGAACTTCCAAATAGCAGAACTTCCCACCGCACCAGAAGGCAGTGATCGGGGCCTGGTAGGGGCAGCTCAGCAGGTGGCAGCCTATCACCATACAGCCCATGTATACCTCTTGCTGGCAGGACGCTGCTGTCTCACCCACGGTCTGCAGCAGAGCATGAGGCCTTGGCCTGGCTGTGCAGAGCCAGGCTGGGCTAATTCCAGCTCCTCATGTTCCTCCTGCAGCCACATCCATATCCTGAAGACACATTCCACCAGCATGCCACCTCAGTGCCACAGAATGATGCCTACTGGCTTGTCTGGTATGAGGATGGGCACGACCTGGCTCCCTTTCAAGTTGCACAAGCATTAAGAGGCTCAAGGAAGTCCCATGGTGCTATGCCAAGCTCTGCAGCAGCACAGCAATGAGTGGTATCACTAGTTTTAATGTTAACGACACATGGAAAGAAAATGTAATAGTAAAATATTCTGACTGCAAACAGAGCACTCCAAAGCCTGGAATTGGCACTATTAGTGAAGTACGTGCAGCACTACCTGTGCCAGCATGGATGTGCGCTGCAGTGAAGCCTTAATAATTGTTCACATATAAGCCAGCTGTGAGTCATTCACTCAATCAATGCCTACGCAACATACCATGCAAAGGCTGGTGTTAGCAGCAGCTGAAAAAGTCAAGAGAAGAGGGGACAATTGTCCTGAAATCTGGCTCTCCTAGGAGTAATCTTCTTATCATTACAACTAAGTGAAAAAGTAACTAGGGAAGACAGGGAGGAGAAGGGGTGGGCAGTGACAATTCGGAAGAACTTGCTTATGAATAACAACCTTAATTGTTACAACACGCTATTGTAAATGGTTTTGTCTTCCTTCCCTTTCAGATTTGTAAGTTATCCTATCACTTTAAATAACTCTACATTAAACGCAGTTTTGATTTCTGTTTTAGCAATGGGAACTTTGGGAATAGCAACCTCAGAGAGCTCACTTGCCAAGTTTTTTTTTTAGTATTACAAGATCTGTGGCTGTTGCTTCAATTAGAAAAACTGGAACAATCATTACTGCTTAAAAATATACAACTCTGTACCAGGAGATATCAGAGCTTGCAAAGTACTCCACATATTATCCTTTTCGTTAGCATAAATAATTTAGCAAGAAAGCTTTTTCTTTTGTGGAAGGTACACAGCTCCCTTTCTGAGATATTTCTCCTGAGAAAGGGCCTTCTTGTAGGAATTCATTCCAGTCTCCCTGCAGCACTCAAAAGGCCTTTCCCTGCCATCAGACATGCTGCTATAAGAAACTTCCAAACATCCCAGGAAGAAAGGAATGAGCAGTGTTGCTCAGCACAGTGTAAGTAATAGGTTACAGGGACAGGCACTCAGGCACCCTTTTGGAAAGCATGTGTTAATTAACTTGTTGAACAGTTATGCTAACAGGTGCTTTCTAGTCTCCCTGAG